GTAATCCTGGCTACTCAGTAGGCTGAGATCTGAGGAGTGAGATTTGAAAGCAGCCCAGGCAGGGAAGTCCATGAGATATCTATCTCCAACTAATTAGCAAAAAGTTGGAAGTAGAGCTGTGGCTCAAGTGGTAGAGTGACAAAGCTAAGGGACAACATCCAAGCCCCAATACACACACACACACACACACACACACAAAGCTAATGGTTAGCATGAGTGAAAGAAGGTGCCTCTAATGGGCACATTCACGTCTGAAATTCCCTTCCTTCCTTCCTCCTCCTCTCCATCCCCTCCTTTCTCTCTCTTTCTCACTGTCTCTCTTTTCCTGTCTCTGTCTATCTGTCTGTGTGTCTGTCTCTGTCTGTCTGTCTCTGTCTCTGTCTCTGTCTCTGCCTGTCTGTCTGTCTCTGTCTCTGTCTGTCTCTGTCTCTGTCTCTGTCTGTCTCTATGTCTCTTCTCTGTCTCTGTCTCTCTCTGTCTGTCTTTCTCTCTGTCTCTCTCTTTCTCTGTTTTGCTTTCGGTTTTCTGTGTAGTCTAGTCCGTCCTTGAACTCCTGATCATCCTGCCTCGGTCTTCTGCATGCTGGGATTTGACAGGCATGTACCACCACAGTTGCACTAACAGTTTCATATCAACTTCTCTAGCTCCCTATTCTCTTCCATTTATTTATTACTGTTTAAATCATTATAGAATAAAAAAATAATACTTGGGGAAAAATGGGCCCCATCTACCTATCAGCAAATATCTTAGTATTTTATACTAACATATGAATTTTATAATCAGTTTGGCAAGAAAATCTAGTAGATATTTTAGATTCTCTGAATCTATAGGTTAGCTGGGAAAAACCGGCATTTTTATAGAGCTGAGTTTTCATGTCCATTATAATATACTCATGGTACATTGAAACAAACTCAATGACATGTGGGTAGACCGACTTTGTTTTCTATCCTGAGCTGACATAAATCATACCTCACCACACTTAAAAGCACAAGGATGTCTTGAAATCCTTTGCAGCTGTAGATCCATCCATTCTCAAATGACAGGGCATGGTTATATACCTGTAATCCCAGTACCCCAGAGGCAGAAGCACAGCAGGGGGATCATGAGTTTGAAGCCAGTCTGAGCTACATTGTGAGAGAGAGAAAGAAAAATGAGAGAGAGAGAGAGAAAGAGAGAGAGAGAGAGGAATGAAGGAAGGAAGAAAGGAAGGAAGGAAGGAAGGAAGAAAGAGGACGAAAGAGAGAGAAAAAGAAAGAAGAAAAATTAAAAAGAAGGAATGAGGGCTGGGAAGGTGGCTCAGTGGTAGAGCGCTTGCCTTGCATGCCTGAGGCCCTGGGTTCAATTCCTCAGCACCACATAAGCAGAAAAGGCCGGAAGTGGCACTGTGGCTCAAGTGGTAGAGCACTAGCCTTGAGCTGAAGAGCTGAGGGACAGCGCCCAGGCCCAGAGTTTAGGCTCCATGACTCACACACACACACACACACACACACACACACACACAAGAAGGAATGTGGAGAGAGAAGAAGGGCGAGGAAGGGGGAAAAGGCAAGGAACTTGTGATCGTACACTACTGAAATGCACCTTGAGTGTGCTGCTTAAGGAGGAAGAGTGAACCCTCCCTTTCATGTGAGATCAACTTACTTTACCTCTGAAGAAAAGGTAAAAAAGAAGAGCTCAGGGACAGCACCCAGCCCAGAGTTCAAGCCCCATGACTGACGAAAAAAAAAAAAGGTTATAAAAAACCCAATGTGCCTGTCCTGTGCTGTCTCTGAACTTTTGTGCTCTGGGCTAGTGCTTTAAGTATGGTATAAAAATAACAACAGTGACTTACAAATACAAAATAAATGCACCAAAACATTAAGAATAATATAGTTCCATATTGATAATAAGCAATTCCTTTTCCTGTTCTTTTTGGTTTATATTGTCTAAATATTGTAAAAAAATTTTTTTTAAAAGGGGGACGCACAAAATCTTGTATGTGTTCAAGGCAGAGAGGGATCCTGGGATTTACTAATGGGACAAACTCAGTGCAGGGTCCAAGGCACCTCCCAGCTTCCCCTGCTATATGTGTCTATTAGTGAGAGGCTCCTGTGTGTCCCTACCCCAAAAAAGAATTCTATCACAGCTGTTAGTAGCAGTCAGTATGACATATATTTACCAAAGAGCTGATTCTGGGCACCTCCAGCTCCAGCTCCATAGAAAGCCATCCAGATAAACTGAAACCAAGAGTAAACCAAAAGAACTGCAGAGGGACTTTGGCTTCAATAACCTCAGGGACTTAATGATCCCAAGCTTTGCCTTATCCCTGCTCCACTTGAGCCCAGCATGTGCCAGACTAGACATGTGGCCCAGATCTTTCTCTACCTGCCCCCTCTGTGTCCTGAGTGTGATGCTAGAGTTGAACATTCCATCTCTCCCAGAACACAACCTGAACACCTGAGCCAGGCATCTCACTGTCTGATGCTCACCTCCTTCTCTTGTTTTCAGGCCAAGGGGGAAAGGCATAGAGAAAAGCCTAGCTTGGGACTCTTCATGCTTTTGCCCAGCTTTGGGGGTCTAGCACATCAACAGAAGCAACAGACCCTAATATCCAGGACTTCTCAAAATCTCTGCTCTCTTCCCTGGACCGCCGCCACCTCCTCCTCGTCCTCCTCCTCCTCGTCCTCGTCCCTCTCCTCCTCTTCCTCCTGCTCTTCCTCCTCTTCCTCTTCATCCTCTACTCCTCCACCTCCTCCTGCTCCTCTTTCTCTTTTTTTTCTCCTACTTCTTTTTCTTTCTCCTCCTCTTCCCTTCTTCATCCTTCCTTGCCGGAGCCTGCCGGCAACGAAAGGGAATCCTGAATTAGGGGGTGAGGACGGAAAAATAAAGACATAAGAGAAAGGATAGGGTCGGGAGGTCTGCAGCTCAAGACTGCAGCACCGTTTATTTTTAACTTTCCCTAATATATACTATTAGAAGTCAAGAGGTAACATAAGGTTACTATAGTCCAGAAAAACAAGGAAAATTTTAGTAAAAACAAGGTGCAGTAAAAACAAGACAAGGTCAACTGGTAGAAAGTAAAACAAACTCTCAGACATAGCAAAGCAATCCCGGGCACCTGGTGTTTTTTTATGAAAGCCAGTTCCTTGTAGGTGCCTTCAAGTGAGCACAGGGGTCAAGATGACCTTGGAGCTTTACTGTCGGCTCCCAACACTTCCTCCTCCTCCGAGCTTATGTCCCCATCCTGGGTTTTGAACTCAGGGCCTGGGTACCATCTCTTAGCTTTTTTCCTCAAGCTTTTTTCCTCCCTTCCACCTGAGCCATCACTCTGCTTCCAGATTTTTGGAAGATACAAGTCTCATGGACTTCCTGCCTGGACTGGCTTTGAACCTCAGTCCTCAGATCTCAGCCTCCTGAGTAGCTAGAATCATACCAGTGCCTGGCTGACCCTTTTGAAAAGTGAAGGAAGAAGAGTTGGGAGAACTCCTATTCTGAGAGGCTCTTCTTGAATTTGAGGGTTACCATTCACCACTCAAGGTTTGACATTCTAGGCATTTCTACCTACCAATGCAATACACAGGCTCACTAAGGGATAGATATCGAGGGCTTAGGGGAAGTTAGGGTATCTACCCACAGTCTCCCTACCCTATTTTTGGCCAAGGATCAGAAATTCCACCACTGATCAATTATTGATTTGCACAATATACCTCCTCCTCCCACCTCACCCCATCCCCATCACCCAGTTGCAATCTTGGAGGCCAAAGAAAAGTAGTCTGGGGGAGGGGAGGTGTTCTGTGTTAGACCAACCAGCCTTTGGCAGTGGGATGGAAATGAGGGTTATGAGAAAGGCAAGAACCCTGGACTTTAGGGGTGAGGGTGCAATGAAGATGGCTGAGCACTCCATGGTTGGGTAGAAATGTATAGTTGCTTGATTTTGCTGGAGGTCAGGTAGATGATGCCAGAATTTGGAGTTAATCCCTCATCCTATACCCAAACTAGGTACTACTATGGCAATACTGCCCTCTGCAGGGCTGAACTGAGATTTGCTTTATTCCACGAGGGGCCCTGGCCATGGTCAGGAGGTACACTGCACCGTGGGTCTCAGCTCCATGGAGACCCTGGTACTTGAAGTAGGACACCTGCCTTCCCTGAGCCCTAGTCTTTCTTCCTCTGCATTGGGACAGATCTCCTCTGACTTTGCATCCAACTCCATATTCCAGATGTTTTGTTTCTCTTCCTGACAGCCAGGAACCCTCAGACTGCCCCTTCCTCAACACACACACACACACACACACACCTGCAGCTAGCCAGGATCTGATTTCTCCCAGAGGCCACCTTTCCTGGGAGCAGGAGTGGGAGATGCCAGGGCGGCTTGGGGCTTGTTGTGTGCAGAGGGGGAAAATGAACTCACGTGAAATGGGGAGTGGGGAGGTAGACCCTGCATCAGCTGAGGTGGCTGCTATAGACCCTGCCCACGCTGGCTCCGAGAGCTGTGCGAAAGGCAGCAAGCATCCCTCCGGCCTGTGGGCTTAGTGGTTGGTACTCAAAGGCCTGGTGTGATTTCTCACCATTGCTTGCAAGCTCCTCCCTGCCTTCAGCCTCCCTCCCCTGCCTCTCCCTCATGTGTGTGTGCGTGTGTGTGTGTGTGTGTGTGTGTGTGTGTGTGTGTGTGTGCTGGCTTCAAACTTTGATCCTCAGATCTCAGCCTCCTGAGTAGCTAGGATTACAGGCTTGGCTCTCCTGCACCTGGCTTTTAGTAGCCTGCTTCCTATTCCTTTCTATTCAGGTTCAGCTGGCTCTGGACACTCAGGCCTCCTTCTCCAGCCCCATCCCTGGGGGCATCCTCCGGGAAGGGTGACTGTTCCTGTCGGCATGGCTCCACACACCCTTTCCTGGCACCTCCCTATGGATCACATCCCCCGAGGGCTCTCTTAGCCCAGGTACCCCTAAGCGCTAGAAGCTGCAGCACAAGTCTGCCCCAGGCAATGACACGGGACAACTGCCAACACCTCAACCCCAGCTCTTCTCCACTGAGTGTTTGCCTTCCATGAGGCCTGAGACACGCTGCTGTTCACTCTCCATGTAAGTAGCAGGCATTGGTGCCCATGGGTGAGCCAATCCTACATCATGTCTGCCTTCAGCCTACATAGAGCAAATTCACCTGGGTGGTGTGTGGAGCGCAGGTAGAGCAGTTCATGGCTCTCTTTCCAGCTTAAGTGCGACCATCCTGAGAAAACCTCTTGCCCATGCTCCACACAGCCCCAAGACTAAGAGGAGCTGAGCTGGAGGAGCAAAGCAGGAGGAAGGGAGGGAAAGTCCTGATCCTCCCTCTTAATCACCCTTTCTCAGAGCAGCCTTTTATTTCACACTCCAGAGGCTCATCTCCTGCTGCTTCTTTGCAGAGAAAAAACATTCTATAACTGGGTCCTCCTGCAGGAGTTACAGCCTTGTTTGCTCTGCCCTGGACTGTGTAGGAGCACACGTACACACGTGCGCACACACACACACACACACACCACCACCACCACCATCACCACCACCATCACCACCACCAACAGTTATGACTGCCTCTTCTGTTCCCCCACAGCTCACCAAGAGAACTGCTTGACTCCCCTCGGAAAGTTTCTGGGGGTTATGGATTCTAGCAAGGTCACAGTTATAAACGTGGGAGGAAAAAGCTTTCTGGTAGACTTGAGGTTACTTCATGGATCCTCGGCCAGCACCCAAATGAAGAATTAACCAAGCTTTTGCACAAAGAAAATGTTCCACTGACTTTAAGTTTCCATTCTGGGTTAACTGTTTTAAGATAACAACTTTACTCACACACACAAGGAAAAGAGAATGGCAAGAAGGTAAAGCGGGATGGTGTGTGTGTGTGTGTGTGTGTGTGTGTGTGTGTGTGTGTGTGTTGGCACTTGAACCAGGTCCTGGGTCCTGTCCCTGAGCTTTTTATGCTCAAGGCTGTCACTCTACTACTTTGAGCCACAGCTCCACTTCTGGCTTTTTTGGTAGTTAATTGGAAATAAGAGTCTCCCAGATTTTCCTGCCCAGGCTGGCTTCTAAATCCTTGGATCTCAGCCTCCTAAGTAGGTAGGATTACAGGCGTGAGCCACCAGTGCTCAGCTACCTTCACTTCTTTTTTTTTTTTTTTTGCCAATTGTGGGGCCTGAACATTGGGCATAGGCACTGTACATGAGCTCTTCAGCTCAAGGTGCGCACTCTACCACTTGAGCCACAGCACCACTTCCTGCTTTTTCTGCTTATGTGGTGCTGAGGAATCGAACCCAGCGTCTCATGCACTCTACCACTGAGGCACCTTCCCAGCCCACCTTCGCTCATTTTTAACTTGACATCAATGACTTTTTAATCAAAAGTTATTATTTCCTATGTAAATTCTGATAATCAGAATAAAAAACTTTAAACATCTCCTTAAATAATTCTGATAGCATATATGTAATGTGCCTTTTGTTGTTGTTGTTGTTGTCAGTCATGGGGCTTGAATTCAGGCATGGCTGCTGTCCTTAAGCTTTTTCGCTCAAGGCTAGAGCTCTACCAGTTTGAGCCACAGCTCCACTTTCAGTTTGGGTTTTGTTTGTGTGTTTGCTTGCTTGCTTTTTCTGGTGGTTAATTAGAGATATGAGCCTCACAGACTTTTTTGTCTGGGATGGCTTTGAACTGTGATCCTCAGATCTCAGCTTCCTAAGTAGCTAGGATTGCATGTGTGAGCCACTGGCACCGATGTAATGTGCCAATTTTAGTTCAATCTTCACACATGTTAAGCACCAATGGCTCATCCCTGTAATCCTAGCTACTCCAAAGGCTAAGATCTGAGGATCACATGATCCAAAGCTAATCCAGGCAGACAGAAAAGTCCCTGAGATTCTTGTTTCTATTTAACCACCAAAAAGCCAGAAGGAGAGGTGTGGCTCAAGTGGTAGAATACCAGTCCTGAGCAGAAAAAGCTAACTAAACAAGAACATGAGGCCAGGACTTTAAGCCCCAGTGCTGGCACAAATGACAAAAAAATAAAAACCTAAGAACAAATTCTTTATCTTTTAGAAACTTTTCACTACATTTTTCTCCTTGAATATATAAAATCTATCCTTCCTTCACAGAAATTTATTTTTGTTGAATTTGAGCTTATAGATGGGAATTTTTTTATTCATCTATAACATACTTCACTGCCCAAAAGCACATAATTAAAATTTAATTTCTTCTAACAATACATTTCTAAGTTCTAAAATGCATTTTGTATAGAATGTTCTCAGTATATTTTGTATTTATTATTACATAGTAAACACCTTACATCATTGCAGCTATTACTAGCACACAATTACACAAAATTACATAAATAAATTATAGTGAAAATAAATTATTCAACAAAAAGTAGCCTTCCATGATAATCTACCAGAATTACAGATGATATCATCCTCATGACAGAATATAGAATCTTTCTGTTTATTATAACTGTTTCTTTCTGTGTCTTATAACTGCCAGTTAGCAGTTTAGCTTTTATTGTTTTGTTTTTTTGGGGGGGGGTCCGGTCGTGAGGTTTGAACTCTGGGCCTGGGCGCTGTCCCTCAGCTCTTCAGCTCAAGGCTAGCACTCTAACACTTGAGCCATAGCACCACTTCCGGCTTTTTTCTTTTTGCTTATGTGGTGCTAAGGAATCGAACCCAGGGCCTCAGGCATGCAAGGCAAGTACTCTACCCCTGAGCCACCTTCCCAGCCCAGCAGTTTAGCTTTTAATGAAGTAGGCGGGGCACAATTAATTAAGAAACCCACAGGAAATACTGCTTACTGCTAGCTGAGACCGGTGACGATCATGGAGGATCATGGTTCCAAGGTAACCCAGGTAAAAAGGGATTCCCATCTTATCCAAGAAGCTGGCTGTGAGGGAACAAATCATTGTGCTGTGGTGTATTTCTAAAATTTAAAATAATTTCATGTCAGTGGGGCTCAAACTCAAAGACACTCTACGATAACATTTCTGTATATTCAACCATTCAAAATATTATGCCTGATATGTACATAGATTTATAAATAGTGAAAGTACTAAACTAGAGAGCATCATGGCCATGCTTTGTTTGGGGGGATTTTATTGTTTGTTGGTTGGCTGAGCAAGTCCTCTACCACTTAGGCCATGCCCCACAAGTTGTCACACTTTTTATCCCAGTTCAGTCTGGACCGTGATCCTACTATTTACCTATAGCTGCCTACTTGGCTGTACCACAAGTACATGCCATCACACCCAGCTTCTTAGTGAGATAGGAGTCCCTTCATATCTTTTTACTTGGGTTACCTTGGAACCATGATCCCAAGTAGCTGAGATTACATACGTGAGCTACCATAGCTGGGCTGGGAGAGGTTCTGTGCTAGCATCGTCTTCCCTCTCCTTAAATATGAGCTTTCCCATCCTTTCTGTTTCCCTATTATCTATACCACCTCTCTTTATATACACTCACACACACAGAAATTATATCACCATCTTGAAGAAACTTATCCCCAGATCTGGAACCTCTTCTAAACTCAAATCCTGGCTCTTCAGTTGCTCTGGGAACACGGCTGTTCCACCATTCTTGAGATTCAAGATCTTAAACAATTTTTTTTGGGGGGGTCCGGTTGTGGGGCCTGAACTCTGGGCCTGGGAGCTGTCCCTCAGCTCTTCAGCTCAGGGCTAGCGCTCTACCACTTGAACCACAGCTCCACTTCTGGCTTTTTGCTTATGTGGTGCTGAGGAATCGAACCCAGGGCCTCAGGCATGCAAGGCAAACACTCTACCACTGAGCCACCTTCCCAACCCAAGATCTGAAACAATTTGATCCAACTTAATTTGCTTATAGTTAACACGTGTCAGCAATGAGCTAGGATGATGACACAGTCAAATATCAACTCCAAGCCTAGACAGAACATGAGGTGGACACAGGAGGTTGGCACTTCCCTATTACCATTCAAATTACTTTCTCTGCTCCATCAAGCTGCCAAGTGAGGATCCCAAACATATTCCCAACATCACTCACTTCTGGGATGCCTTCTTCCCTTTGTTCTTGATGTATTGTGGTTAACTATGGTTACTATGGTTAACTATGTTACATTCAGAGATGGTTATATTTTTCTTTATGCTACTTGGTATTCTGATGACTTCATTTTTCTCTCGACTTGTATCTTTAATTGTGTAAATCATACTTTCACTCTCCTCTTTCTGGAACCCAGTTAAACCCTATTAAACATTTCCTAGTGCCATGCCACATCTCAACAGCAGCAGCAGCAGCAGCTGCTGCTCCTTTCTTCTTCTTCTTCTTCCTCTTCTTCCTCCTCCTCCTCCTCCTCCTTTTCTTCTTCCTCTTCTTCCTCCTCCTCCTCCTCCTCCTTTTCTTCTTCTTCTTCTTCTTCTTCTTCTTCTTCTTCTTCTTCTTCTTCTTCTTCTTCTTCTTCTTCTTCTTCTTCTTCTTCTT